AGCAACGAAAAATTACATTGTTGCAATACCTAAGCCTTTCCACTTTAATGGTTGCATAAATTTAAAAAAAAAATGACAACATTATGGGTTTCGAACCTGAGACCTCTTGGTCTTGAAAGTAAGCTCCTACTAGTAGGCTACATCTATGTTTGTGTTAGTAATAGCGAAAGTACCCTATATTAATTATTGTTGACCAGTTATATTGGAAAAAGGATCTAATCTAATTTTACATATCACGTAGAGGTCGCGGCTCCTTCTCTCCCATGGCCTCTCTTCTTCCCCCACGCGCTGTCTCCTTGTGAAGAACGTGGTGGAGGCCCCCCCTGATCCCTACAGCCAGCACTAGCAGCTAGCATGGTCAAGGCCTCCCTGAAGCCTTTGTCATCGCGGCGCCCCTTCCCTACGGCCGTAGTCGTCACGGCCCTTGAATTCCCTGCAGCGACTACGGCATATTGGTGCCCTAGTTCCTTCCTGATCATCGACGAGATAAGGAGAGCGAGCACCGTCCAGTCCTTCCTTGGCGTGCGAGAGGGGACGGAGCGTTGAACCAGTTTCACCTCGCACCCTTCACCATCCACAAGAGAGACGATCAGCGGCCGGCCAGCGATCATCGACATGAAAAAGAGAATCACGTATGCTTGCATTATTGCTCAGTTTTTTCTCTACATATTACTGTTAAGTTTGGTACTTGACTAGATCAAATTACTCACTGTTGTTGATAATCCAGACAAATTTTTGCAAGATTCTTATTCAGATGCATTGGCTAATCCACACATTTTTTTAATTTGTCTGGTTCAGTGCAAAAACATTCCATTCTTAGCCAATGGTACTCTATTTATGCTGAGGTCTAGCTGTTTTGTTTTTGGCTTGGTCTAGCAGTGTTGATTAGTTATTGTGACTTAATGTGTAATACTCCAATCTGAGTTTCGGTTCATCACATTTATTTTAAGGGGATAATCATTTGTTTCCATTAACTACTGTTCTGAGCATGGATGGAGAAAACAGCAAAACACACTGGGTAGCTGTTGTCACAACGGACAGTGCTAAGCTTCTGAATATTTCTCTAGATATACTAGTAAATAAAGTTTGATAAAAATGCCCTTTGGATGCATTAAAGTTTATTAAATTATAGTTAAAGTAAAGGGCCCTTTTTTAAGCTTGGCTCAGAAAATTGACAGATTTTTAATTTTCTTTATCTCTGATAAATAAAGTTTATAATAATGTCATGATCCCTTCAATTTAATGTGCTACAGGAAATCATTGTGATATTTCGAAGATATAATTAATGGCACATGATGATGATCGGAGTTGGATGTTGTTGCCTCGGTCATCAGTTGAGTGGCAAGCAGGTCTAGACAAATTTATTGATACTATTTTCGAAGGCACCTATGCATCAGAAACTGCACCATGTCCATGTTCAAGGTGTTGTGGAGTCGTGTACAAAAGAAAATCCAAGGTTCAAATGGACTTGCTAACTAAAGGGTTTGATGAGAACTTTGTGAAAGAGGAAGGTAATGCTGACATATTTTTGAATGATGATAGGGATCTGAATGTAGGCCCACCAGATGATGCATCATCCGCCAACAATCTGTTGTCCACATTAATTAGGGGTGCGAGCTGTGGCAATACCAATGAAGAGCCTTGTGAGAGTGCAAAGAAATTCTTTGATTTGTTGAAAGATGCGCAACAAGAGTTGTAGCCAGGCTCACAGCTTACCAAGGTATCATTCTTGGTCAAGCTCTTTCAACTTAAGTGCATGGGTGGATGGAGTAAGGAGAACGCAAAGCAAACACTTAGCCTATGGAGAGATACGCTCACCCCAGGACATTGTATCCCAGACACTATCAAGAAAGCACAGAAGATTATCCGCGACCTTGGCCTCACATACATTAAGATCGATGCTTGTGTGAATGACTGCGTGTTATTTCGTAGGCCGTTGGCTAATATGGACATGTGTCCAACATGTGGTGAGAATAGGTGGAAGAAAGACGACACAAATTCTAATGAGATTGGCGAGTCTAGCGAAAGTGGTGGAGCAAAGAAGCACACTCCTTGCAAAGTTCTAAGGTATTTTCCACTTACTCCTCGATTGCAAAGATTATATATGTCAAAGGAAACATCATCATTGATGCGGTGGCACAAGGAAGAATTGGTTAGTGATGGGAAAATGTGGCATCCAGCAGACTCATTGGCGTGGAAGCACGTGAATGACAGGTATAAGTGGTTTGATTCTGATCCACGTAATGTTAGACTGGGACTTGCATCTGATGGCTTCAATCCGTTTGGGATGTTGAATGTTAATTACACTTGTTGGCCCGTGATACTGATTCATTATAACCTGCCTCCTTGGCTATGTTTGAAACAACCTTATTGGATGATGTCGATGTTGATACCTAGGCCTAAATCTCCTAGAGTGAACATTGATGTATATTTGCAACATCTGATCGATGAGCTACATGATCTATGGGTTAATGGAGTTTTAACATGGGATGAGAAGGAGAAGAAGAATTTTACTCTACATGCAATTTTGCCGTGGACAATTAATGATTTCCCCGCATATGCAATGTTATCTGGTTGGAGCACAAAAGGTAAGTTTGCTTGTACTTATTGTCACAAGCATACTGATTACTTGTGGTTAAAACATGGCTCAAAGCATTGCTACTTGGGACATCGCCGATTTCTGCCCATGAAACATAAGTGGTGAAGGAACAAGACGAGCTTCAATAACAAGGCTGAAACTAGGGAAGCTCCAGTGCCGCTCAGTGGTGAGCAGGTGCTGCGGGACTATGAAAGTTTCCAGCCAGTGACTTTTGGAAAGGATACAAGGAAAAGGAAGCAACGTGACGAAGAAAATAGGTGGCACAACTGGAGGAAGAAGAGTATTTTCTTTCAGCTTCCTTATTGGAAATCATTGCTAGTATGACATAATTTGGATGTCATGCATACAGAGAAGAACATATGTGAGAGCTTACTGGGGACTTTGTTGGAGTTACAAGGTAAATGCAAGGACAGTGAGAAGGCTCGACTTGATATGCAACATTTGGGTATAAGGCCAGATCAACATCCAGTGCTTGAAAAGGGTAAGTACACCTTGCCACCAGCGCTGTACTCTCTAGATAAGGATGACAAGGAAATTTTGTGCAAATTTTTACATGGCGTCAAGTTCCCTGATGGTTATGCCGCAAATATTCGGAGATGTGTGGACGTCAATGGTTGCAAGCTTTCTGGACTTAAAACTCATGACCTACACGTAATCTTGCAAAAACTTTTGCCTTTAGTGGTGCGCAACATATTGCCTGAAGATGTGGTGACCCCATTGATGGAGCTAAGTAGGTTCTTTAACTCACTGTGTTCAAAGGAGTTGGAGTTTTCAGAAATTGAAAAACTAAGCACTTGGATTAGGGAGACCCTTTGTCTGCTAGAGATGATTTTTCCACCGGCTTTTTTTGATATTATGATGCACTTACCGGTTCATCTTGCTGACGAAGCTAGACTTGGATGCCCGGTTTGTTATAGATGGATGTATGCAATTGAGAGGTACCTTCGTACTCTTAAAGGCTATGTGAAGAACAAAGCGCTCCCTGAAGGTTCAATTGCAGAGGGGTGTATATCTGAGGAGTGCCTCACATTTTGCTCTTGTTTTTTTTGAAAATATTAGTACCAAGCTTAATCGTCCAGAGCGTCATGAAAGCGCCGCTGCTAGTGAACCACCATCTAGGCTAATTATATTTGGGAGCCTTGACTACAGTAGGAAAGGAAGTACTCTCGAGAAAGTTTCTGATATTGAAATGCATAGGATGAGGCATTACATATTAACCAACTGTGACGAGGTCACTCCATGGATAAAGTAAGCTATATTTTAAATTGTTTTTTTATGGTGGTCATGAATGTTTAAAATATATATGTAACTAATGAACGTATTTTCAATTGTTGTGGATAGTGAGTATATGGATGAGCTGAAGAAAATTAGCTCAAGGCATGTTGATAAAAGACACAAGGAGGAGTTTGTATCATGGTTTGAGCGTAAAGTGAGTCGTCCCTAATATATTTATCCATATTTTATTTCTATAGTTTCCACATGCTTCTTGTAAATTTATTAGTCTGTAATAATAGCTAGCCACTTTGTCGCTTTATTTGTCCCTAATATATTTTTAAAATGATTAAATGCAGATCAGCACATTGCGTGCACAAGGGGAAATAGATGACATGATTCATTATCTATCTCGTGGCCCAGACCCTCGGGCTCGTGTGTTCAACAGGTGTTTCATAAATGGCTTCCTTTTTCAGGTCTCTTCCATAGAGAACTGCTTAACTACTCAAAATAGTGGTGTATTCGTGAAGGGCGATGCAAATACAGGAAACATGGGCTGGTATGGTGTGCTGAAGAAAATCATTTGCCTTGATTTTCATGGTGACAAGGAAGTCATGTTGTTCCAGTGTGTATGGTTTGATGTCCCTTCAGCTAGTAGTAGCAGATCGAGAGGGTACAATAAGGATAAATATGGGGTCATCGATATTGATATCACTCGGTTTAGGTATTCAGATGAACCTTACATCCTGAGCACACAAGCCGAGCAAGTCTTTTATGCGAGAAACATAAAGAAACCAGATTAGTGCACTGTCCTTAGAGTGCAGCCTAGAAATCTCTTTGCCATGCCTGAAGCAGAAGGCATTGACAATATGGGCGAGCTCGATCTAGACTCAGTTGTTGTAGGAATGGAAGATATGAATGTTCAATAACAAAATGAAGATGTCACAGCTTGGAATAGGTCTGGCCTTGATGGGGCTACTGTTGATGCTTCTGTTATTGAGCATGCTATTGCAACAACCATGCCTGAACCTGAGCACGATGACCTGTTTGATGAAGACGAAGACCCAGATGACACTTACATTAATGACGGAGTCCTCCCTCCATTTAGTACTCTGGGAGAAGATTCTGATGATGATTTTTTGTCTAAATTTTTCTCAAGCAATAGAGGCATTGGGCTCCTGAGAGGCTTTCAAAAGATGTGATCGCGAGTTGAGATGCTGCTCATGAGCTTTGGAGCTCCTATACTCCTTCCCACAAAGAGCACAGCTGTAAAGCATTGGATGCTTGCAGGCTTGCTCCCCTCCGCCAAAGCAGATTGCGTAGCCAGAAACAGAGCCTCTGTGACACCAGGAACTCCAGCCACCTGAAGAATTTAACACATATCAAGACAAAGCATGACTGAATTTCAACACACAAGCAAGCAAAACAATATAATCAAACCGACAAAAAGAAGTTGAACAGGTCTCCACACGTAATCTCCATCACAGCCAGGCCAGAATTTACCAATATATGTTCGTTTTTCGGTCCACAACAAAAATATAAAAATATCCTGAATTTCTTAATTCTAATCATTTTTCATGACTGAAATGGAACTCTTAAGTATCTGGATAGATACAATTTTAGAAACTACCAATCCACAGGAGTATTTGTATATCTAAATATTCAAACAAAACTATGACAAAACCATAAAAATCGACAAAACTCAGGTGCAGAGGTTGGAGTTTTGCAAACATTCCAAGACCTTAGCTGTTAAAAAAACTCAAATTCCGATACCGGGATGTCAAGAATCCTACGCTTAATTCTCAATTCCTGTCATTCTAGTCCCCAAAGCAGGCCGCACGAACCAATGAACCTAATACCTAGGGTTCTAGCGACAGAAGGTCGGCTGCGGCGGGGGGGCGACGTTACCTTGCGCTTGAGGTTGTAGCGGTGCCATTCGGAGCGGTAGTGGAGCCGCCGCTGCTCCTTGTCGTCGAACCCCGCGTTGCACGCGTTGCAGGTGACCGTCGACATCCTCGCTCAGCTCCCTCCTCTCCGCTCGCTACGGATTTAGCTTGCTCCGGCGGGCACGGGCGGGGAGGACTCTCTCTTCTCTCCTTCTCCTTCCGGTGCCGCTTCGCCTTGTATGCGGCGGCGCCTCGGTGGTGAAGAGTTGGGGGAAAGTGGCGGCGGGGCAGGGAAGAAGGGGGAGGAGGAGAAGTAGGAGAGGGCAAGGCGGCCACGTTTGTTCCACTTCTGGGCCGGCCCGTTAACAAAGTGTGTTGATTGTTCCACTTTTGTTGCCAAAGGTTGGTTCTTTAGTGCCACCTCGCCAATTCGGAGAGGCAAAACTCAGCTTAAAAGCTGAAGCCGCCGAACCACACTGAACTTCTCATATCAAGCGCTATTCCGAATTCGTTACCCTTTTGGGCTAGTTGAGGCCGATAGCTTTGCTGGGCTCCCCGTAGGGGTTGAGCCTGGCGCGGCCGCTAGTCCTTGGCTGGCCCACTGAAGTGCCAACTTTTTTGTTTTCTAATTCTATGCTAATCGTTCCAACTGAATTTATTTTTTTTAAACATATTTTTATCGTGTCCAACTAGTACCTAAATATCATATTCCATTTTTTTCCTAATTCTATTATAATCATTCCTACTGACTTTATTTAAAAAAACATATTTCTATCATATCCAAGTATCAAACTCCTTTTTTCTAATTCTATGCTAATCATTGCAACTAAATTTATTTTTTTTAAAACATATTTGTGTCCTGTCCAACTAGTAACTACGAATCATATTCCATTTAGTGGCATATTGTTTTGCCTGTCTTCCTATGTCAGTGATGTCGTACCGAGCATGCCACGTCGCCTAGATATGTGATATGCTCCTTTCGAGTGCTATGTCTTATGCCATCGAGTGCCTAGCTCATCGTCTCCAACTAGTCACAATTTGTCCCATTTCATTCCATGTCTAACATTGTTGTGGTGTAGTACTCAGTGTGCCATGTCGACTAGATATGTGTTCTGGACCTTTCAAGTTCTGTCCTATGCCATTGAGTGCCTACCTCATCGTGTCCAACGAGTGCCACATCTTTGACTATGTTAGGTAGATGTGGTGTCATATGTAGCTAGGATGCCACGTCGAACAACAACTTGATATGTAGTCTCATCCTCTCGAGTGCCATGTCATATGCTACCAAGTGCAATGTCGTATGCCACCGAGTGCCTCATCATGATCATAGGGGCACGTCATTGCCTATGTCTCATCCATTGAGTGGCACGTCATTGCCTATGTCTCGGTAGCTAGTACGTCCATATCGTGGTTTATACTTGTGACTTGTAATACAACGACGGAGCTGCCATAGGGGCGGGGTGGGGTGGCTGCCCCAGCTACCGGCGGAGTAGCCTCAGCCTTCGATTTGAGTCGCGCCGCAACTCCGCATCGACGTCAAGGCCGCCCGATGCCCGCCGCCGCCTGCCGGCAGCCACTTGTATGACTCATGATCCTGATCAATAATATCTGTTGACCTAATTTGTAGAAATTAATAAATTTTCTATTAACTATGTCCAATTAATACTTATGTTATTTATTATTATTTACTCTAGATGGGCCCGTGACTTAAAAATTAATAAATTTATTACTAGTATTTTCAAGTTTCTATTGTTTGGTTATTTTAGAAATTAATTAAAAGCTAATAATAAATGTTTTCCTTTAGGAGCCTCCCCAAATTTGTCCCTAAAAAATTTCCACCGCGTCAAACCCAGGTTCGACACCGCGCGTGGCAAAAAAAAAAAATTAACACAACATCGCCAAATTGACCGCGCGTCGATCTAATAACCTCCCGTCTCCAGACCGCGCGTATCCCTCCCCCTCCCCCAATTAGATCGCGATCCGTCTCCCAGGACCGCGTGAGGGCCATGATGCCGCCGCCTACGCCACCTCGGTCCAGGACGCCCCCGACATCGCCTCCGTTGAGGACGCCACTGGCAACGCCTTCAGGCAGGACGGCGCTTCGTTCGTAGGGCATCAGCGCCAGCACAGACTCCACCGCCTTGGGTACCCATCGCCATCGATATACTGAGGCCACCCTCGAAGTAGAAGATGATCTTGGGTTCTCTTCTCCATATGTCCCCAGGTACAATGATTACTTAATCTAGGTTTTTTGATTCATATTTATTATCGCATCATAGCAAATTCTACAAATTGTGGGGGTTTAGGGTTTTCAAGCATTTGCTGCTTGCATATTTTGGTCATGATAAAAGCATAATTTTTTTTTTCAATCTATGAGGATGGAATTGTCTGATTGTGTCATCAACTAGAACAAATTTTTTGGAACAAATTTTCTGATATTGAATGGATCTGGAACTCTGTCTTCAATGGGTTCACATCAAAGCAAGGCTGCAAAAATAATTGACAAAATAAAAGTATATTCAGTATATGTATGACAGGTTGACGTAATGTTGTCAAAATGATTAGAAACAAAGCCAATAGCTTCAGCATATGTATAACACTATACCTATGTCAAGATGTTATCAGTACTTTTTTTCACAGCTGCAACAGACACTGGCAAGCGTCAGGATGATTTCTTCAGGACTCGTAGTTATGTTCTTAGTAAGCATATATATGGTGATTATTGCATCTTAGAAGGAGGCACATTTATTTAGTGAACAATTCAAGCAAAGATATGAGATTTGAACATAAATGTGAGAACACTCACTGCAATTTTTAGCGCTATCAGGGATATTGCTCTGCTTGCTAGCTTACTACTAGAGAACAGACTTTAGAACGATGTCCCAATTTGGCATTAGCCTCGGCATTTTTTTGCCGCCGGGACTAAAGGACCCTTTAGTCCCGGTTCGTAATACCAACTGGGACTAAAGGTCCCTGCCCAACGGTCGTCCGAGTGGCAGGGATCTTTAGTCCCGGCTGGTATTACCAACCGGGACTAAAGGTACCAGCCGGGACTAAAGGTTTTAGTCCCGGTTTGGGTGACATCCCGGGAATAAATATTAATCTTTAGTCCCGGTTTGGCCATCTAACCGGGACTAATTATGCGGGCCTATACAACGGCTCATTTCTTCCTCCCCGAGCCCGAGCCATTCCATTCAAACTCACTGCCTCTGTTCTTTAGTTTGCTGTTGTTCTTGCTCTCTCCCCCTCCATTGGTGTTGCTCTTCGATTTTGGAGGTAACAAACTTAATCCTCTTATGTTTTATCAGTAGCTTATCTTATTTTACGATGTACATGCATGTGTAACTTTATATGTTGGACTTTTATATGATTTTATATGTCATTTTTAGCTCAAAATCACATGATGATTTGCATATATGTTTGGATAAACAAAAGTTAAATTAGTTCATCAAAATCACGCCTCGCTCATCCTCGCTGGAGCACGCGCCATCCTCGTCCCCGGCGGCTTACGTGATCTTAGAATTAATTTTTCCATGAAATGAAAAACTTAGAAAATAGTTAGAAAATTGTAGAAAATCCGTACTAGTTGAACTTGCGGACCGTGATCATCTCGGCGAGCATTTTCTCTGCCGAGCGGTAACGGATGTCAAAGAGGAGCTTTGATTCTACGAGGGAGAGCGGCAACGGTCGTGGAAGACCATGTTCCCTTCCTCGTAGAATCGGAGCTCTTCCTTGGCCAAGTACGGTGCCGTCCGGTAGAGAAATGCTCGCCGAGATGATCACGTAAGCAAGGTCAACTAGTACGGATGGTTATTTATTGAAACATGTTTTTGAGCTATGTGATTTCTATGTCATTTTTAGCTCAAAATCACATGATGATTTGCATATATGTTTGGATAAACAAAAGTTAAATTAGTTCATCAAAATCACGCCTCGCTCGTCCTCGCTGGAGCACGAGCCATCCTCGTCCCCAAATGACTTACGTGATCTTAGAATTAATTTTTCCATGAAATGAAAAACTTAGAAAATAGTTAGAAAATTGTAGAAAATCCATACTAGTTGAACTTGCGGACCGTGATCATCTCGGCGAGCATTTTCTCTGCCGAGCGGTAACGGACGTCAAGGAGGAGCTTTGATTCTCTGAGGGAGCGGCAGCGGTGCGTGGACGACCGTGTTCCCTTCCTCGTAGAATCAAGCTCTTCCTTAACCAAAATACGGTGCCGTCCGGTGGAGAAATGCTCGCCAAGATGATCACGTAAGCAAGGTCAACTAGTACGGATGGTTATTTATTGAAACATTTTTTTTGAGCTATGTGATTTCTATGTCATTTTAGCTCAAAATCACATGATGATTTACAATAGTAAAATCACTTGATAGTTTGGTATTTTACTATTATACATAGTACATATTTCATTGTTTAGTTAGATAAATAAATAATTTTAGTTCTGTTTAAATATATTATTTTAGAAAATGTGAAATTCTGATGGTTTGCAAAAATAAGTATAGAAAGTAGATGACAACTGGTACAGGACCTCGGCCTCTCGTTCGGTTCTTGGCTTATTTGAGGCCGAACTCTCTCATTATCTGCGGCAAGTGTAAGCGTAAGATTGTGATGGAGTACCGAGTCAAGAGCGAGGGACCCAACAAGGGTCGTGTTTTCTACAAGTGCCCAGATCGCGATGTGAGTTTCTTACGCATTTGATTTTTATGGCTAATTGACATGCTTTTCTTGAATATTTTTGACTAAATATTTTTTGGCTTTAATTTCAGTGGGAGGGCAATGGATGCGATGGTTGGTACTGGGAGGAAGATTATGCTACATACGTGCAGAATTAATTTTATCTGCTGATGATGAGGCGATGAGCCAAAGGGAGAAGCTTATTGATATTCAACGGAAGAATGATTTATCTGTTTTTAGTTATGTACGATCACGAAATAATTATATTCTTGAAGTGCATTGTAGTTTTAGTTTGTTTAGTGATAGTTGGGATTGCTTACGTTGTAGCCGAGCTTAGTTAATTAATCAACCGTGTGTGTGTCATCTATGTTGTGTAATAAAATACTTAATTATGTTCAAGGTTTTCATAATTTGTCGTGTAATCTGATTATGTCACGCCATTGGATGTC